CCTTGTCTAATCCATTATCACAGCATCTCTTTGAGACACGTGGACAGTAAAATGATTGTGCCACGGTGAGTCCTCTAATCTCAGGACATAATAAACCTCCTGTTTCTCACTATTTGTGTGTGTCTTCCTCCAGGCGGGCTTTGGTATACAGAATGTGTTTGATCTTCTGCTGCACAGGAGAGGTAATATTAAAGGTCGAGGAGAGACGGAGATAGCACTGAAGGTCGCAACATGGGGGATTGATCAGGCGGATGAAGAAATTGCAGGAAACATGAAGTCAGTGTCAGACAGTGGCCTTACCTGACACTAAAGTAACAACAGGTGCATGAATTACTCCAACAATGCATATTCAAATGTCTTTTCATGTGTCAGTGAAGGCACTAAGATCAAATTGAAATACAATCTTTATTCAAGGTCATAGACATCTCCCAAAGGTATAATCCAGTAAACAGCAACACAGGCATTTACAATTCAAGGACAAATAATTCACTTGTACGATAACAAATTGAAGGCTTCTCAAAGATACGTTTCACCAGCTGCTGCCGGCAGACAACAAACCAAATACTCAATTCAACAAATATTTCTATATTAGTATCTTAAATAAAATAGGTCGATGACAGCACTAGCGCTCATGAAACTAAATTGTGATAGTATTCTGTTCATTCACAGTCTGATATCCTTTGCCTTTTTCTTTCTCTAAAACTCTCTGCAAAACAAGTCTTTTATGAAATGCATGTTATAGGAAATAAATACAATGGTAATACAACTGACTTCACTGGACATTTGAAGACTTCTGACCAGAATAAATCCCTTAACTCATCTAATACTGACCAAGTTGCCTGTTTAAGGGCGACATAAGGACGTTTACAATAATGTGACTGAACATTGACAATTGTATTTATTGGGAAAAGACACTGCTTTCCTCACAAATAATCTGGAAAAATTGAAAACTGTGCCAGTTAGAAATATCTATATTACCTTTTAAAGTTTATTCAGACCCTATTATAAAGTTTATTATATATTTTAAGCTTTATCTGACAATATCATTGCTGTTTAGACTCAAAGTGAGGTTGAATTTTGTGTAAACATTTTGCCAGAATATCTGGTTTTAAAGGAATTCAGAGAAAATACACACACAATTAAGAATATTTCAGTCAATAGAGCCAATAACTATTTATATACTGAAGTCCTTCTGTGTTTGTGTAGAATAACAATACAGTATGTTGTTAACAAAACAAGATGGCAGGTGATATTAATATACTAACAATCGAAAATAACAATTAGGGCTGGGCAATATATCAATATTATCTCGGTATCGTGATATGAGATTAGATTTCTTCATATAGTTTTAAATATTGTAATATCGCATATGTGTCTTTCAAGGTTTTAAAGGCTACATTATAGCAAGTCATTTTCTGAATTTACCAGAAAACTCCAGCTGTTCTATTAATTGGATGTATCCATATTACTGATGATTATTCATCCAAAAATGTCATTGTGTATATATTTTGTGGAAGCACCAATTGAAAACCCAAAAATACAGTCGCAGTCACATGATTTCATTGATTTTTGAGACAGTATATCGCCCAGCCCTAGTTATGATTGCCAATACAAATTCTGCCTGCGACATCTTTAAAACCCAAAAATATAATAGAAAGGCTAGTGCTGTTCAGATGTAGTGAAAGGATTCCTCGCTCCCGTAAAGTAAGGCAGGCTTCTGGATCACCTGAACAGTCCCTCCCTGTAATGCAGCACACTCTCCAGGCATAGATATGTTTTTTTTTTGCGTGCTTCATCCTCACAACTCCACAGAGTAACGACAAAGCACTACACAAGCAGCTACTGGTAAGTTACATCACTAAGAAAACGCTGTCGGTGTGAAAGTCTGGGTTTTTGTGTTCTTGCTACAAGTGTATTTCAGTGTTTCCTCACATCTGTTAATATATTGTGATTCTGTTGTTGTGTTATTAAAAGTGCCACATTTAAACTGGCAACATTCATTAACAACTCTCAAAGGCCGATTTGTGTATACTACTAACATATTTTATAACAGAAGCTCAACATCATGATACCTGTTTCATTTGTTGGGTGTTTTGAGTAGGGTAAAGCAGTCTGCATTTTTCAAAATGCCAAGAACTGACTTTTCTTGTTATATGTTAACACTTGTGAACTTTAAGCTACATTTGTGACATTAAGGACCAGTTTCCTGGACAGGATTCAAACCTAAATTATGTCCCAAATAGATTCACTTTTAGTAGTTCTACAATTAACTGCATTGATTTCCTCAAGGAAGATTAAAGTTCCTCTAGGAGTAAAAGGCTTAAATTAAACCTTTTAGTTTAAAAGGTCAGACTCATTTTCAATCAGCAGAGACACTTCAAAATTCGGCGCCTATCTACCTTTGCCAGTGAGATTCGGTTCAGTCTGTTGTCAGATGGACTACAGAAAAACGAATTTCATAAAGCTTGGCGGAGGGGCTTAGCAATAATTAACTATTTTGGAGCAGTTTTGAAATCACATGGCAGATACATGCATTATTTTTTCACTAATGGAAACTACTCTTGCTCAGATCCAATCTTTTTTTTTGCTTCCGATTCCTCCTCATTATGGGATTTTTGTAACCAGTTCCAGCTATCATGTGGCAGCACAGGTGATTAATATTTACCTCGTTAGTGAGAGCTGAGTGCCCTTCACCAGAGGACTAACACAGCTGAGTCAAATTAAGCTCGTTAGTCCAGGAATTCTTTTAAAAAAGATTCTTTTGGGCCACCAGTGCCTTCATTATAGAGACAGATTTGAAAGAGGGAGACATGTTGGAATTTGATTATAGTAGTCTTTGCATTCAAGAAGTAAAACTCTTTATTTGACTTATTCATCTGTTATCTAGCCAGTAGGGTGCCATTGAGATTAAAGATGTCCTTCTTCCAGGGAATAACCATTCTAGATTTAGATCTAATACTGGTTTAGCTCCAACCCTGTCCAGGAAACTGGGCCTTTAGACCTATCATTTTAGCTTGCTAGGTCACACCGCTACTTGAGCAAAATCTAGGCTACTCTATATCAAGCTAAATTTGTGCTCGTTTTCGAGTGGTTTAGTAATGTTTCAATTGCATAACTATTTCCTCTTTTCCAAAATATGAGATTCGGATTCAGGTTGTCCATAATGTTTTTCTGCACAAATATTAAGACCCTAACCTTTCAGACACAGACTGGACACATAGCTTTGGAGGACTGGCGAGAGCTGGTGTTGAATTATATCTATCAGGCCAATAAGAGCTACTGTAGGCAGCAAAATATTGCCTTGCCCCTTAGGTATAATTAAGCCACTGCACAGGCTCATTACAGTATGTGTCCACCTTCTCATTACCTCAAGAGATTAATCCCAACACTGAGACTCACATTTTGGTCATTGTGTAAAGCCTGTAATGAGCCTTCATCCATTTGAAATGATCCTTACAAAAGGCTTTACCATGTTTAATGGCTGTTCTTGAAACTTTCTGAACACTACATTAGCTGTAATTAACTACCATCTGGTCACACACTGTTCAACACACTGTGTACTCTTTCAACACAGTCTCACGGCATTTCGTGTTATAGTCACGAAATTAATCTATTGATTCGTGTTCATCAACACGATTTCGCCATTTTTTTCGTGTCATACAGAACGATTTTAAAAGCAATGTAAATAATAATAAATTATAAGGAAAAACTGATAAAAAAAAAATACAGATTTCAGTATTCTGACACAGAACGATTTTAGAAGCAATGTATTTCTATTGGTAGTATGTTTCGTGCCTGCACCAAATAACAACAAATTAGAAGGAAAAAAAGATGACAAAAAATACAGATTTCAGTATTCTGAGGCTCTGAGCCATTTATTTTCCTCGCGGACGGCAACAAAACTCCGACATTATACAATTTAAAATAAAAGGGATAGGGTTAGGCTTAGGGTAAGATATTGAGTAAGAAAATGTTTTTATGAACCACACAGCTTCCGGTCTTCCAAGACCCGACCGGACAAAAAGACGTGGTGCAGGCACGAAACACACTACCAATAGAAATACATTGCTTTTAAAATCGTTCTTTGTGACACGAAAAAAATGTGAAAATCGTGTTGGTGAACACGAATCAATAGATTCAATTAATTTCGTGACTATAACAGGAAATGACGTGAGACTGGGTTGACTCTTTGGGGACGCCACGGTGACTCCCCATAAATATGACACTTTGAATTGTTCTGAATATAGCTACTGCTCCCTGAAGGAGAACATAATACAGATAATTCAAACTTGAAACCTTAAATACAACTATGTAATGATTTTAAAGTAGCTAGCTGTAGACTTTTTTTGGAAGAAAAATGCTGCTTCATTTTCTTGCTAGGAGTTTAAGCTAAACAAACACTGAATTATAAATGAACAAAGATTGGTTTTATGGAGGTTATGTGCAGCATTATACTTGACTTGGTTTTGTCACTGAGTCTGCGGTCTAGCTCCCAAATTGCAACTTTTCAATACCATTCTGGGCGGCTAAGCTAGGTTCTGGCTAAAAGGCTCTCTGTGTCAGTCCTTTTGCTAAACTAAGCTAATCAGAATCTGGCGATCGCTTCAATTAAACTGTACACACATGACTCGAGGGTGGACGACTCCCAAACAAGTTCAGTACTTCATGGTGAACCTGCAACACTTAATTAAGGTTCAGCCTCTTTCATATGGATTTGTAGTACATAAACTGCAAATTAGAAAACAAAGACTCAGATTGAATGAGGGTGTACAAGGCCCAGACACTAGGGTTTTTTAAATCCTCACTAAAAACACACTTTTTCTCTCTGACCTTCTAGTCAGAGCGGAGCATGACACCTGACTATTCCCTGTGTTTTTGTTTTTTTATATTTCTGTTGTAAATTATTGTCTTTTATTGTGATTGTAGTAATGTGTTTTTATTACATGTACAGCACTTTGGCTCGACCAAAAATCGCTTTTAAATGTGCTATATAAATAAAACTTGATTTGATTTGATTTGATAAGTGACTTCCTCATTGGGATACCAATTCTTTTAATGAACCTGATCATTGTTCAAATGACAGATGAATTGGTTTCTGTCAATGTGCTGATTTGTACAACTTAGATTAGCGCAGTGTTGCGATCACACACATCACATAACTTAATCCAGGTACGTTATCTCACTGGTGAAAGACAGCAAGACAAATCTAAGTTAAGATAATTGTTTTTTGGCCTCTTCACATACGACAATTCGTTTTGTCAAGAGCAATCTGAAAAGTGGAATAAACTTGAGTGCCTGAGGGGACAGTTATGCCCCATGCTGCTGGACCTTACAACACCAACTCTCACAAAGGGCAATCCCCCAAAGCTTTCATGTGTCGTCATGATTTCCCTCATGACAGAGATATCTTTATTCATAGCTGTTTCTTAGTAAGCCACAGTTTGATCAGGAAAATTGATGTGGCTTCAAGCTTTCACATCCTAAATAGGCTTTTATGCCATTGATCTTCACAATTTCCATGGAGGATTAAAAGTCTCTATTAAACTCCCCTGCAACTAATGTGCATATCTGAGGTATAGATTTAGACTTTAAATACTATAGGATACATAAGCTACTCCCACAAAATAGTTCTGAAATGTTAAATCTATCATATCAAAGATCCTACGACAAGATAACGATTACCTCAATACAAAAAAATATAGACTAGTAACGTTTAGTATCAACTATCCATTGAATTCTAAGTGAGACAGCATAAGGTTGCACAGTGACAGGATGTTCATCTCCCAGTGAGAAACACAGCGATAGGCTTCACTGATTTCCCTTTTTTTCTCTTTTCATTTTGGTATAATTACTGAACAAACGATAACATTGGAAAAAATGGTAAATATCGTAAACATCGTACCAGTACAAAAGCACATTGTCGCAAGACGTGGTCAGAAAACACCAACACAGGCAGCACTGGCTGACAGCTCTTACTCCTCCTCCATTGACTTCTCAATCTCCTTCAGCCTGCGGACAAACTCCTGAGCCTCCCTGTCTCCGATGCGAGCGTCCAGCATCCTCATGATTGGCTTTTCTGGAGGGGTAGAGCAAACAGATGAGAGTAATTCCGACAGCTGACACAAATATCTCTAGATTGAATGGCTTTTCATTTTGTATTGGAGAAGTAATTGGAAACCCATGGCCTACACCCTCTGGTCTCCCAAGTAGCCAATATAATGTTAGTGTAAAACAAAGAGCTTGATACATCCTGGAGCTATATGTACCGCTGGGTTTACTGCGAGACAGATGGAGAATGGCAGGCTGGACGCTCTTGCCGGCGGCTGAAGCGTTTGGTCTCCCCGGCCAGCAGAAGTCGCTGAGAGGAGCCACGGCTTCTCCGGCGAAATCGTTGGTGGAAAGCCAGTCGTAGTCCATCACGGTGAACGTCAAACAGGCAAACCTGTGTCTGTACTGTTCCGGACTGACGTGACTGGAAGAGAAAACTCAAGTTAGGCTCAGGGCCAGTTAACCAATAGGGAGATAAAGAAAGGGAAACTCACAAGTAAAACAGTTCGTCGAATACTGGGTGCAGGGTCTTCAGTTTCACTTGCGTGCGCTGACTCTTGGCCATAGGGAACAGGTGGTGAGGACAGACCTCCACTATGACAAATGGGTCACTCAGACCTGAGGAAGATGAGAAAAAAGTTAATGAAAACTACATTTTTAAGCAGCAACCTGTATTTTTATCTGTATATTTGACATTTTACCGTTAGCATCTAGTGCAATAATATCCGCAGCGTGCAGCATCTCCACCGTCAGTCTCTGCTCCGGAGCGTCATAGTAACACTTCACACTGATCCGACCAAAACGGGTATGTTTAAGTGTTTTCTGAAAGATTTTTTAACAAAGAGGATTATTAGAATCAGCACGCAAAGCTGAAGTGAAATTAACTTATATTAAAATATGTTGTGAACACATTTTAAGTTGCCAAAAGCAGAAATAAGCAGAAAGAACTATTCAAAGCACATCAGTGTACTTGTTGCACCGCCTGACAGCATCTTGTTTTTCGACAGTCCAGGAGAAGGGAGACTTTCAATCAGAGGTAAAACAACAGAAGACAGAGGGGTTTTCTGTCCAATCAATACGCCCCTGTGCACCTTAGGGCTAAAGTGTCAGTCTGGAAAGTGGAAACACACCTGTAGGGAAATCTTCTCCAGATAGTACTGTTCAATCAGCTCAAAGGAGGAACATTTATTCATCTTAAGCTCCTCATCCAGGGCCTAAAACCGCATGATAAAAACGGTAAAAGGATTAATAAACATTTAAGTTAGGGTATAAATGTTTAAAAAAATAGAGCCTACCTTGTATTCTCCACTCTTCATGTCGTCCAGTGTAAGACCCTCTCCCTTGACATGCATGAACTGCAACAGGGTCTAAATCATTCAATTGAAGAGAAATAAAACGTGTGAGCCAGGACTTATTGCGCATATATCTCTCTGATGTTTGATAGACATAGTTGCTCACACACACACAGCATAACACACAATAAAACTCTAGCCCTGTCGTGTAGCAAGCCATGAATTTTAATGCAAATCTGCCACTGACAGCTGCTTAATTTTGGCATTAGAATATACAATAGCTTCCACGTTGTCATTCATGAGGGAACTCACTTTACTGCTTAACAACAGACTTCATAAATATCTTATTTACATGTATGCTAATATTGGTACGATACAAAGCATAGAGAGCTTATTAAAAGATGGTGGTAACAGTAGTGATGTCTGTTAAAAAAGAGCTTTGTGTATCACTGACCTCCACTGTGTACTGGAAGCGGTTGTAGAACTCCACCTGAATGCCTCTGTTTTCTGCCACCGCGTCCAGGATCATCCTCAGGAGGAGTTCCCACAGGCTTTGGAGAACTCTGAGGGGCATCAGACACAATGACTCTTATACACATGAGCGTTACTCAATACCACTCTAGAACTCTCATATAGCCTTATGTATATGTTCACAATTATTTATCGCAGCGTCTTATTTGCTGAGCTGTCACAGTTTTCACTCTGGTTCTATTAAAAAAAACGCAATCTTATTACAGAAGAGCACGGTTATTCATCTAGACATTAATAAAACATCTGTCTGAAGTTCCAAAAGTGCCAGTGTAGGGCATGCTGGCATTTGTCCTAGTTTGCAAGTCAAATTGATGTTGATGACGCAGTGTTTTATTTATATGCAAAATGCATGTTGAAGTGGTGCACATTTGATGCTGGCTCTTTAAATCATGCTTCAATCATTAAGTAAAAAATGGCTACCTGTGGTGCAATAGTGGCCCTGACAGTTTTTTTGCAGACCTGCTTTATATGTAACTGCTTTTTTTGAGTTTCAAAATGGTGTACTGAATGTTTTCTTGTGATTGTTTTATCAATAGCTGCGCATACACACATGATGCAAATGAGCTGGTAGGCAAAATGTGGCACAATTATAAGTCTAAGTCTCTCGAATGTATCTGCATTGCCCCTGTCAAACTGAAACATAAGTGAAGTCATATTCATAGTGAGGGAGCGAGAATATGAAAATCATTACCTAGTCAGATTCTCCTTTACAAGGTTTTCAGTGAGGATGACCATAGTGTCTTGTAAGTACTTCATAAGAGGGGACACAGCCTGAAAGAATGGCAGATGAACATACATTACATTTGTGATTGGCCTGCAATAATCACTGATACAAGAATGGATGCTGAAAAGAAGCAGTGCTAGCCCTTACGTCGTCATTGTTGATGGAGTCTGGTGATAGGCTGATGTGCTGGATGTACCTCCGCAGCTCAGGCAGCATCTGCACACAAATATCCTCTCATACATGTGCATGCAGATGCATAGAGTATATAAAGATGCAAAAAATATATAAAGCAGGATATTATATATACATGTATATATATAAGTGTGTAAGGAATGGAATATTAAATATTAAATTGAATATAATGAGTCACTGCTGGTAGAAATCTCCCCGTTTTGAGTGGATTTACACGGTTTTCATTTGCGTTGCTGTTTATATTTTAACACTGTATTTGGTGCATGTGTGATACTATGGAGTAGTATTTGAAAGCAGTTGTACAGGTTTTGAGCTGCGCACCTTGTCTGTGAGCAGCGTGATGAGACGCTTGGCCTCCCTCTGCAGGTCCAGGTCCATGTTGAACAGCTGCCCATTGAGAGCCTTGTAGACCTGCTCCTTCCCCTCCACCCCACAGGACTCCTCCATGGCCCGCTCCACCCCCTGCCAGTCCAGGTCCCGGGGCAGGTGAGCCAGGAAGACCCGCACGTGCTCCGTGTTGTTCAGCGCCACGCAGAGCTAGCAGGAAGCGAGGAGGAGCAGAAGAGGAGAAACAAAGGGTGGAGCCAGAGAAACAAAGTAGGAAAAGGAGCAGGGCTACAGAGAAGTGGAGGAATGGGGTGCGAGTGTAAATCATTGATGACGATAAGAAGCAACTGAGTCTGAGTGTAAACACATCGGATCTCTGGATGAGCCTTTTGTGTTGCCAGGGAGAACACTCGCTGACATTTACCTCCCACGTCACTGTGTGCCCTCCCCCCTCTTCTGTCTTATTAGAGGCGTTACCTGCACGGTGAAGCTCTTATAGTCTCGGCCCTGCTGGTTCCTCTCCACCTTGCGTGTCATCATCTCGGAGTAGCACACAGCCTCGCTGCAGAAATTCTTTGACGATAGAATACCAGTCGTGTTAATACAGTGAAATTCACAGTTCCCTGTTTGACTGCTTCATTAATCCTGTGAGTACGTTTGCGAGTCTGCTCAGTCATGTTTCTGTGTGTGCAGGATGAGCGTTGACACTGGAAGCTGTACTCACATCTGTCAAACGCGTGACGAAGATGAAGGCCCCCGCAGAGTCTGGCCAGGCCAGCTGGAGCCAGATCTGTCGTACCTGGCTGAAGCATGTGGTCACCTCCACTGCTGAGGAGCTGTGTTTGGCCTGCAGCAGCGGCTCGAGCTGCTCACACAACACACAAAGCACATCATTCATAGTGTGTGAATAGCACTTTGTGGACCACATCTCAAGATGATTCATGTATGCAACAAATTGTCTCACTAACACATTACTAAAAGCAGCTCTAAAAACTTTTTTATTTCATTATTTTATGAATATATTTGCAAGCAGTTAGTTGTAATCTCATACATTATGATATATCTGTAGTAAGTATTAAACACATTTGAACCAGGGTATGATTTGAACACATGTACAAACTGTTAAAGGGGCCCTATTGTGCTTTTTGGGGTTATCCCTTTCCTGTAATGTGTTATATCGTTTTTTGCACATGTACAGTAAAAGGTCTTCAAAGGGTACAATCCCAAATTCCCTCCAGAGGGAGTTTCTCTTCCACACACAAAATGAGCATAAGAGGGCCCCTTTAATAAATACTTAAAATGCTTTGGTGTTTTGAAGAATTTGTTAGTAGTTTATTCCCCTGTATGAATTGTAAATAAAGGACTAGGATTGGTAGTATCTACTCAATAGCTTGCACAAGGACACTTTGACATGATACTGCAGGGGCTGGGATCGAACCACTCTACTTCTGAACGACAGATGACCATTTAAGCCACAGCCACCTCCATAGATATCCATTACAACACACTTTGGGATTGCTTTAGTCACAACATCAAAAATATTTAGAAACTATGGTAATCTATGCATTTCTTAAAAACAAACAAACCAAAACAATACAAATTACTCATTATATAACCATATTAAGTATGAATAAGGATATATATTTTAGATTCTGTATGCTCTATTAGATATATTTATAAATAATTAAATACAATAACCTTAGAATGTGCCCTCATATCAGCTTACAACTAAATGATAGTGTATTTGGATGGTCTCTCACCTTGTCCATTTCCACTGCTTTACGAATTCTGTCACAAGATCGGTCATGGATGATCTGCAGCCACTTATGAATGGAGGACTTGAACCAGTTATGAAAGCCTGTCAAGGCCAACATTTTAGCATCCCTGTAAGAAAAGAAAGTTATTTGTAATAAATACAAAGCAGAAGGAAGTGGGAGAATTCTCATCTTCTTGCTGACATTTAAATCGAATAACCACCGCTGAGAGCTTTAAGCGCTGCTATATTTATTGTCATGAGAGTCTAACTTACTTGAGAGGCAGAAACTCCCGAAAGCCTTTGAGGATTTTCAAGGACATGAAGAGCTCAAAGATGGTCTCTCCCATTGTCTGCGTCAGTCTGGAGCTCTCCTGCTCCAGAGTACCACAGACACGCTCCATCGCTACGTTCACATCATCGGCAACCTGAAGGATCAAATCATTTGTTCAAGCACCTGTTTAAACCCCAACAACAACAACAACGCTGCATGACTCGCCCAGGTTGTGTAAAACTACTACCACAAGGACTTCTTAATGACAAACCTGTTTCTCCAGCTGCCTGTATGAAATGCTGAAGAAATCTACTTTCACCGCACTGCAAGGACAAAGAATAAATGGAATCAGTACAACAAATACTTAATCAAATGTCTGTTTCTGTGCCAGATAGCATTACATTTCTGCATTATCCTTAAGTGGATAAGGTGTAGACCAGGGGTGAACAAACGACGGCCCGCGGACCATTTTGAATCGGCCCTCGGCAAATTAAAAAAGTATAATGGAATATGGCCCACAAATTAAACTTGTGCTTGTATTATATTGTACTTCTTGAATATAAATGTACAAATATATTACACAGTAGTATTCATGTGTTGATAAGGCCACTTTTCAAATACATTCAGTCAATTAAAGTTGGAAACATTTTCTAACATATCGTAGTTGATAAGAAAAAGCCCAATGACTTATTTACATAACAAGCTTGAAATACACCCTTCCTATTTCTCCTTATCATAATCAATCTGAGGCTTCTGTTTTAAGGGATGATCTGCCAACACTCACAAGCATCATTTACCTACATTTGATTGATTTTGCTAACTTACAGTATGACTGAACTTATGAGGCAATATACCTCGTGAGTAGCCCAGACCTTTGTATATTATTCTGTATGTGGCCCTCGGTGAAAAAAGTCAGACACCCCTGATGTAAAGTGTTGACATTGACCTGGAGAACAGTGTGTTGTAAATGTTCTGGCTCCTCTGCACGTCCGCACACGCGGCATCGACCACCTGCACCAGCTTCTTCAGCTGCTCCTCCAGAGTCTGCGTTTCCAAAACAAAATGAACAACATCATGGATATTCATTCTCAAGACAAGTCACCGTTAGAAGTGATTTCGGTCATCAGGAGTTGTGTTCATCAGAACAAACGTACCCCATCCTCTGGCTTATATCGCGCAATTATGCTCTCGTACCACTCCACGGTCCCTTTCTGTTGGAACAATTGCACAAATTAAAAGAGAATCATTGAGTTAATTAAAAGGTGCCCTGCAGTTGGTAGAAATGTGCATCATAACCATCTATTTGTCTTCATGTGCATACTGCTTTGGTGGAATACAAACATATACAGTGGAGGAAATAAGTATTTGATCCATTTCTGGACATTTCTTTTTGATATTCTTACTCTCACTGTTCAAATAAACCTACCATTAAAATCATAGACTGTTAATTTCTTTGTAAGTGGGCAAACTTACAAAATCTGCAAGGGATCACATACTTATTTCACATGGACCTCTAATTCAAGCCATTCATTTACAGCACAGCCCGAGTGGTCATCACCTCCACCTCTGAGTGAGCCTGCTGTAAATGTGTTGTGTTTTTATTATTATGCCTGTTACCTTGGCAGCGGTGGTGATGTCCAATTGCAGATCATTACGAAGAGGACACACAGTTTTAAACGCCTGCATGTTCTGCATGTAGCCAATCCCCCTGGCATTCACAGACAGAAAAAAGACTATTACAACACAAGACTGATTTCAGGTGCTGGTTTCAAATCATATTATTCATAGGATATAAAATATCAAACAAGGACGAAAGCTTCCACTCTATTTTTATGCGGGATCCTGCGTTGTCTCTGCAGGAGAGGAGAGATTCAGCCATAACTTTTAGATGAGTCACTCTGTGTGTGTGTGTGTGTGTGTGTGTGTGTGTGTGTCTGAGAGGTGTAGAAAAATACGTCCCTTGAGGTGTTGATAACTAGGCAGAGCTGGACTTCTTACTGTCTCCTTAAAATAAGTCTGACATCGCAACATGAACTCAGAATAATTAGCTGACAGTAATGCATGTTGAACAGAGGTCCTAGTTTGGAGAATTTCTCTGCTTCAGTCGGTCTGTCTAAGACTTATAATATTTCTGCTATATCAATCATGCTAATACATTTAGCACAGATACCCATGGTCTTCCATAGATAGTTTATCATGATTTAATGGATATGTGAGCTCTCTGGTTAATATTTCTTGATGGCCAACACATTGGGAGCTTACAATGTGTCTAAAATAGAAGCCAGGGTTTCCATGAAACTCACTGTGGGTATTCATGTTCTCCAAAGCATGGATGGTTATGATTATGTGATTTGATCAAGCATAAAGTTCCACAAGCCCCAACAAAATCTCTCTACATATAAAAACAATCATCTCTTACACGACAGATTCAATTTTTATTTAAATACAAATACAAATATGTACCTTTTGTAACTCAGACTTTGAAACACTAACATATTTTCTTTTCCTGTTATATAATTAAAATATTTTGGGATTCTTTCTAGTATTTGCTAAACTATAATGACATAACATATGCTAATATAAAACTTGGCCTTCAATTGGGAAACAGTAATAATTTCATTATTTTAGCTAAGTTTTTCATTCACAAATGTTGCTTCCTCACAATTTCTCCAGTGTTAAATGGTTTTCCTGATCAAATGAAACTATACAAAATATCAATTACATGTTGCAAAACAAGAAAAGCCTGACAACTTTACAGATTTTTAAGCACGTTAATTCCTGACCACTTTTGTTCTTTTCCTATTTTTTTTGTAACTATGTTGTTCAATAAAGTTATAAATACATATTATATATCAATAAATGATCTTCAATTTGCTGGACATATTCATGCTCTGAAAGGTATTGCTTTCATATTTCATGGCTGTACATGGCTTGTCTTTACCAGTCAAATGCAAGCATCATATTATAAAGAGAATAATACAGTATGTGTCATGTAAAGTAAACATATTGAGGTTGTTGCTTATGACAAGAAGTTGCTACAAAATATTACTATTTTGTATGTTATATACAATAACATTTAGAAATGTGTAATGAGCAATGATTAAGATATTTCTGTTTGAGTAGGAAGCCCAACGCAGAGTGTGAGTGCCAGGTGGAAGTGTGTGTGAAGGCGGGTGTTGGACGCGATGTGATGGCAGTGTGACTTTACCTCAGCATGAGCTCGTAGCGTGTGATGGCAGCGGCGCTGGTGCAGGGGAAAACCTGCCGCATGTTCTTCATCAGGCACAGGCAGTGCTCAGTGTACAGCCTGAAGCTGTCTGACAGCTGCCGCTCCTGGACACAGGAAGGCCCTCAGTTAGAGGCCCTCAGTTAGAGGCCCTCAGTTAGAGGCCCTCAGTTAGAGAGGCCCTCAATTAGCCACTCAATTAGAGCGGCACACCGGCTGTCACACATTTTTGGCTGGACCAAAAACCCTGATGCATGTCAGTGAAGAGCTAATGAGGTGACTGTTTCCAGATGATGATAGGTGATGGGCTGTATGTTCTGTGTGCACAGCTTTATTGGCACTAAGCTTTCTGTATGCTACTCTTTCTTTAGGAAGAGACACTACACATGAAAAGTGTTCATTAAAAGAAATCTCCATGAATTCCTCAGTTGATTACTTACATCAAGAAGACAATCCTTTGTATGTTTAAAATATTCAAATGTGGCATTATCTGAAGCTAACTTTTCAGATGGAATCTAAAGAAATATACATTAGCATTGAAAAAGTCAGAAAAATAAAGAGCCAATTGTGAATATTGGATGTTTTCTCTCCACCAGTCTGAAAGAAGATATGTTATTGAAGCAAAATAGCCCACAGAAAAACTGCACATGAAAAGAAGGATGTTTGGTAAGCCGCTTTAGGTCAAAGAACATACCAAGGTTATTTATTATAACGTTAGTCTTAATTCAAATGTCCAGTAGAGGGTGAGTTCCACATGGGAACATTTTTTGAAAAGTGAAGTTTATCTAGACTTTTATCTCAGGATTCAGTCTGTTTCCAGGTGATGAAAGGCTTAGTTTTCTCCCCTGACTGACTGTGAACACCTACCAGGTCTCCCCTCACAGTGACGGGGTCCCACTCGGCATCGATGGTCCTCAGGAGGCGCAGCAGCAGGGAGTAGCACACCCTCTGCGTCCGATGGTGGCTGCTGTAGCACTGCCAGCGACTGCCACCACAAAAAACATGCACTTTTACCTGATGCTTAAGGGTTTTTATTTAATTTGATCAATATCTATTCCTTTATTACTCACATAATGGCCTGCTGCAGGGGGGAGAGATCAGTTTGCACAGCATGGTGAGTCAGCACGGTCCATGCTGGAGGACAGACATGCCCGTTCCAATTGTACGGCTCTCTCTGGAAATATATGAGGACGATTATCATGACAGTTCAAGACAAATCTGTTTCTACTCAACAAGAAAAAAGAGAAGTATTGTTGTGGAAGCTGGATGCTGAAAGCTGAAGCACAGTTGGAACAGTGGCAATGGGTTTGATTTGGGAGGCGTGTGGTGCAGTGGATAGAGCCTTGGTATGGGGATCAGATGGTCACAGGTTCAAACCCCACTGCAGTCAGCATGTCGTTGTGTCCCTGGGCAAGACACTTCACCCCAAATTGCTCCTGTGGGGATTGCCCACAGTATTGAGTATGTAAGTCGCTTTGGATAAAAGTGTCTAACAAGTGACATGTAATGTAATGTAATTTGATGAATTTGAATACAAATGTGTATATTACCTGTGGAATATTTTATATTTAAAAAAAAGATGCTACATTGAATTGCTGGCTTTAAAAGTTGAATTATACCATTAATGTCTAAAATATGTGGAGCTGTTGTGCACCGACAGAAATGTTAAGGGAGTTTCATTTTCATGTTGGCTTATGGTTGTTTTTGTCACTCACCATTTACCTGTCATTCCAGGTTGCCTGATTGTCTACTTGTTGTGTGTCTCCCGCGCTCATCAGCACCCTGATTGTTTCCACCTGTGTCTTGTTATCCTGTGTTTAAATTCCCCTGTCTCCCATGTGTTCTTCGTCAGTTCGTCTTGTCTCATGCCTAGGTCAGATCTATGCTCTTCTTGTTGTCAAGATATTTTGTTCCTCACTACGTGAGCGATTTTCTTTTGTTCTCTTTTTGTCATCTCATCCAGAGATTTGATCGTGTTTATTTTGTTCATCTATCTGAAAATAAAGTATCTTACAAATACTTTACCTCTGTCTCCTGGGTCGTGCAATTGGGTCCTATACCCTGAGTTCCTAAGTATGTAACAGGAGCATTGTAGGGTTTGAATGGTAATAAGTGTGCAAATATTTTAATACTGAATATTTCACAAATTTGAATGAGGAAATGATCCCTTGAAAATGTTGCATACTTCTGAGAGTTTAAAAAGGTAGACATTCTAAAAGTTGTGAGCAGAATTGATGATAAAACTATGAAAGAAGTCAGAAAAACATGGAGGAATAATAATAAAAACATGTTGCTGAAGAAGAACATAGCTTCCAGATTGAAACAAAACTAATACACTATTAATAAAGTAAGTAAATGTTAAAAGAATGTTAAATTGTTAGTTTTGCCTTTATTATAGAGGTTGCTCTGAATGAATACCTGCATTGAAACCCACCTTAACATGTGCATGCTCATACTCCACGATCTGACTCAGCAGTTTCTTGTGAATGGAGACATTTGAGTCTTTCTTAGACAAAGCTGTGTCCCTCTGAAAGAAAAAACAAATATTAAACGTTGCAATTCTTATCCTTCACATGCAAGTACAGAAGTATACAGTAGTCTGAATGCACCAACCTGACTGGTGAACAGCTTCAGAATCAGGTGACATTCTCCCTGAACTTTAGACGTGCTCGATCGAGGCTCCAGCTTAAACCAGGTGTCATAGCCCACGATTGGGATCTCCTGCAAGAAGGAGACCGGACAAATAAACAACACCGAAATGTGAAAGTACTGGTTCACGTTTAAATTGTAAACACTTCTCTACCATGCTATGTTTAGGCATATATTATGGGTCTCATATATATACAAATATATAAAAAACATGTCTATGATGTGTTTTGCTCAAAATACCAAACAGATCATGCATTTTAGACATCCCTCATATCCCTCTATTTCAGCCCTGTTGCTAAAGTGCTGATTCTGGGTCCTTAGCTTTAAAAAAAAAAAAATAGATTTATTTATTTCCTGCTTTTTTACACATACTCTCTCCAGTACAGGTTAGCTCTGAGTGTTAGCGATGCTTGCTAATGTAAACAAAGACCATATTACGTCCAAAACATGTCGTGCATTGTTTCTGATAGCAACATTTCTGATAGGGCCGTGGGTGTAAAGCCAGACCACATCTGGATCACCTCCGTTGTACCCCCGTTTTTAGAGATTTGGGTACGGAGGAAAAGAGAGAGGGTTTTGTTTTCTGACACTTTGTGAGTTCACACCGGGGACACATATGTATGTATAAACATCAAAAAGTGCATTTTGCATGATAGGAGACCTTTAAGGAATATCCTTTACATACTTCAGATAATTTGTGGGTGTTTTTGTTTTGATTTGTCCTAGTATCCACAAATGTTTAAAGTCTGAACACTTACATTCAGAGGGATGTTGATGCATCCGAGGAAGTCATCGGCGTTGTCCTCGGAGCCTGAAGATGCAGATCCATTGGAGCGCACTGACTTTGCTATCTGCTTAAAATACCTGAGAGAGAAAGTGCAAGGAAAATCTCATTTGTTAAAGGATGAATGCTAACAATTATCATTATGAAGGCATTATGCTAATGCCTTTATCCACTGTGACTCACAATTAGAGCATCGGCAGAGATAGTTTAATTTCAAAATAAAAGTTGTCTTTATTACCATGGTTTTTGTTCTAATTAAAATGGCAAACTTTCTGCCACATGACCCTTTGTCTTTTGGTTTTAATTGACATTCCCAAGTTTCATTAGATTTGTCTGCCATTCATGAGTCTCCCCAAAGCCCCCGCTGAACTCTGGGTGATCTCTGTGTGCACAGCTTTATTGGCACCGAGATTTCTGTATGTCACTCTTTCTTTAAGAGGAGACACCACACATGAAAAGGGCAAAACGTTAATTAAAAGATATCGCCTTGAAACGTACTTATTAGAACTATTCTTTGTATGTTATTTACATGTGGTATTTTCTTAAGCTAAAGGTTAAGATGCAATCTACATACAATATACAGACACAAAAGGACTCAGTCAGAAAAATAAAGACCTAAACATTGGGAGTTTTTCTCTTCAGTCGGAAACAAGACATTTTATGGACGCAAAACAGCACACACTGAGCATGAAAGAGGATGTTTTGGTGTCTCGCCTAAAGGTCAAAGAACAAATACAGAGACATATTAATTTAAACTTCTGTCGGAAAAGTATTAGGGATCTGACCAAAAAGGAATTTGTCACCTGACTTTAAAGGCCACATTTTGAGATTAAGTAAGAGTTCAGAGAACAAAAGAACAACAAAAAAAGGACAACATTTCTCCACATGTAGCTCTCTTTCGTACAATTGGAAAGTACCCTTTGATAGATGAGTCATCTATTCACTACCACAATGCCAACTTGAACTACAACTGTGTAAAAACTCCTAAATTGTGATTCAGTTGCACTTCAGTTTAAGCACTGGGTGGGGACCCCCCCAACGTAATTTACAGTTTTTTACTATGTTCAATCTGAATTTTCTTTAAAATATAAAAACATCTATATTGATTCTGACTTTTCTACATCCAACTCACAGGTTTATCATTACTTTGAGAACAAAGATTATTCATTTAACCCTTTTAGAAGGGAAGATATGGTCATTTGTTCTGGGAATGTCATTTTCGAGCCTGAGACCTGAAAAACAGGCTCAGTGCTTAACAGGTTAAAGAAAAAACACTCTGCTTAAAGAAGATTCATCATTTCTAACAAAAGAAGCATTTAAGACAATTTCATGATAACAGTCCTTTATATTTATGGTAAATGAGTTTCTCCTACCTGCCCATTCCTCGAAGTCCACTGACTTCATTGAGCTTTTTGCAGGCCTCAGCAACAGACACATCATCGTCGTGATCCCTGCAGGAGAGAAGAGGATTCAGAGGTTATTACAGCCTCATCTCCTGGAAGAACATGCGTCATTATCTTTGCACGGCAGTGAACAGAGCTGAGAAGCGAGATCTACAATGCAGTCCTATTACAGAGTCTGAGCCATTACCCAGACGAGAGAATAGTACTCAATACAGCTGAATAATGACTCTTCAATCTTCTTTTATGCAACATGACTCACCGTTCATATCATTTTGTAACACATTTGAAAAGTTTCAATTTGACAGTTTAGAGATGAGGTCAAAAAGCAACTTCATTGTCTAGTATAAGAAAGTATTTTTTATTGTGCATGGAGAAAGGAAAAATGTGATTGGAAAAATAGAAAATGAAAGTGTATGTGGGGTGGCTGTGGCTCAGTGGGTTGTGCGCTGGACTTCGAATCAGGGGATAGCAAGTTTGAGTCCCACTGCAGTCAGCATGTCGTTGTGTCCCTGGGCAAGACACTTCACCCCAAAGTGCTCCTGTGGGGATTGTCCACAGTATTGAATGTATGTAAATCGCTTTGGATAAAAGCGTCTAACAAGTGACATGTAATGTAATGTAATAAAATGAAATCCTTAAAATCATTCTTTGTCCCTCTGGCATGGTGCCATTTAAGGAATTCAAGGTGTTCCCACATAGCAATCTTACCATATGTCAAGATGTAAGAGGTCATTGTGGACATCATCTATTTCACTGTGAGAAATGGAAAAAAAAAGGGGTTATCATCTCTGTGTTACTGATATTAACACGTCAATCAGAGATGAATCAGTGCAGCACTGGTCACTGGTCAACAACTTCAAGTGTGAAACTAATGAAACTGTGAATCCTGCATGCCTCACATATCACCACCAGCGCTCTGCTAAAGGTTAAACGTCTGTACTCACAACAGGAAGTGCTCGTCCCACACCGGGTTCAGAGTCTCCGCTTTGACCTCCGTCACCTGGATGCAGGCGGTCGGTAACACCTCCTTGGTGCTGGAGCGTTTCTCCAGCTTGTCCTTTTTCTTCCTGAAGCTGAACTTCCTCTCCTTCTTCTCCTCCGTCTCCCTCGGGCTCTGGCCCAGCAGGATTCCCAGCATGCAGTAGGGGTCGCTGTACCCTGGCAGGCCGTGGCGTGACACAGAAAAGGTTATCGCACTCACATTAAAACTGTTGATATCACGCTGAGGGTGTTGGTACGGCAGCGTGAGGAGAGAAGCCTCATTTGGGATTACAATCAGAGACTGGTTTTGGTTCAGTGGCTGTCAGTGTTCCACTTGTTGACCTAGAGCTTGTTTGAGATACATTTGACCTCACAAAAGGTAGACGTCAGTGGTGGGGGAGAATAATAAAAACCTGCAGCCATTTTTGTCAAAAGGTACAAAACAAGAAGTCCCCTATTTAACGGAACAGATCGAAAATCTATCCTATATTGATCTAATTACACAGCTTGGTTGAATACTCAATTCTGATTGGTCAATTTGGAAATTTCGAGGTTGTTAATACTCGATAACACACGGCTGCTAAGCTAAATATTGACCGTTGCTAAGGAGGATCAATGTAGAATGCGCTGGCATTATGTAGGACTTGTTAGTGGAAAGGAAAATTAAAGGATGTGAAATTATTATTATTTAAAAAAAAAAAAAAAATTGTTCTGAGACTTTTTTCTCAGAATTCAGACTTTTTTTTCACATCCCCACATTTTTTTCTACCAATATAATCAACACATAACTTATTATATATTATTATAAGTTAATTAACTTTATTCAGCCCTTGTTGAATTGACCTGGCAATATATATAGTAAAAAAATTAATAAAGTTAAAATGAAAAATACATAGATGCATTAATAATCATGGTCCAATTATATATTTACTGAAATCGGCTGAATTAGTACTTTTATTGTATTACTACTCAAAGTACATTTTGGTGCTAATAGATTCATACTAAGGACACATTGTTGAATGCAGGACTTTTAGTTGTTTCTACACTGTGGTATTACAGCTTTTATGATTTTGATATTTATACAGTTCATGCTAATATATATAGCTAAATTAAATATGCATTTCTTCATAGAAATGTCATGTAAATAGCATGTCCAACCTAGCCTTTTTGGCATCTCACATTGAATAAAAACATGTGATGGAAAGTATGCGTCAATGATGTCTGTTATGTTAGACTCATTTAAAATGCAGGGATCAACATTTTCCATGCAGATTTTATTATAACTGTTTCTTTAATGTTATGCTTTACTTTAATGTATTAAGCTTCTGAGATTCTTTTATAAACACGCAACAATAATCGTGTCAGTGCCAGATAAATCAGTCAGGATTCCACCTTATTACATTGTATCAGCACTGCCCGTTCAACCAGCATAGATAAATAACATTTCCCAGAAATATTTCATTTTCAATAGGGAGAGTAAAGGTTCATTTGATGCTTGAGATGTCTCACCATTTGCGTCCTTGGCCATCAGACTCTTTGCCTTCACAACAGACACTCTCAAAGAAAAACTGGCTCGCTGTGGACAAAAGAAATTCACTCTCTGTAAATAAGTAAATGTACACACAAGGCCATGCATTGAGTACATTACAAGGTATTTCTTTAACTTAACTCATACATCTCCATTTGTATACATATCAGCAGGCATTGTAGAGTGAACTGTTTCCTACCATAATATGGTAGATAAACTCAATGTCCCAGAGAATACATAAGTGGGGAAACATGTTTACTTTGCCTTTCACATGGACTCACAGTTTTAGAGATATTTAAAAGGTCCTTGGCAGTCAATAAAAGACACAGAATGTTACAGAATTGGGCTTTTAGGCGTACCAGGTCTTACATCTCTCAACTCTCCGAGGGCAGCAGTGCTCTCCAACTGTTTCTTTTCAGAGCCGTGCTTTCACATTAGAACTACTGCACTGTGCCAACATTGAGCATGAAAACAGGAACGTGTTCAGGACATGCACTAAAACACCACCTGTGGCTGCACAACGGAGCATTTAGTGCTGCCTTTAAATCTGCACTTTGTGACCACTGAGGAGTTTATTCTGTTTTCTGTTTCATTACCTTAACGACCCAAAGGATCTGTACCCGAGGCTTTGTACGTTTTAGCATGCTTCCAACGAGAGACTAACGTTTGCAAACATGTTCTGGTATGCTAGAAATTGTATTGTTGACCCAGGAGCACGGGTAAACACCATTTAGTTTCAATTTACCTTTGTATTAACCAATAAGGCAAAGTATTAGACTCTTTTTCAAGTCAAGCTTAATTTTACACTCATGCTAGCATGCGCCAATGTTTGTCGTGTAATATTTCTTAAATATAGTAGAAATTCATGATGCTTCCACTCGGTTTTACATTTGTGCGAAATCTACTAGATACATAATAGGACATTTTACATTGCAAGAACTTGAACTCGCAAATACATATATACAGTAATATGTTGTATACAGACAACAATGTAATAATAATAATAATAATGATTTGTCAGCACTAATCAAATAAATGTAAAGAGGCGCATATTACATTTCCGCACTATATTTCCATATCCCCCTATATACTGTACTCATCATACTCTCATTTGAAATCCGTAGCTAGACTGAGTTTTATGAACTAAAAGATTACATATCAAACAGATGAAATACAAAAACATTTAATCATTTAAATGTTCTTAATATTTCAAGATGTTTTTGAATGAAGTAAAACCTAGTTTGTTGAATCAATGCGTCTTTGCAAAGAGAATGGGCATTTGTATCTCATAAAAGGACCCGAATTTGAGTTGAAGAAACTCAACTGATTCACAGACAATGGTCATGGTGTTTATTATAATAACAAGCACATTTGGGTAGAAATTCATCTAAAGGAACATTTGAACAGATTTAGATTTGTGTACAACATGTCTCACCTTGGCTTCTTGAACTTTTTGGAGAATAATATCATGTTCTTCTTCGCCCATATCAAACACCTTGGATCAGACAGTGAATAAAAGCTTTTTTTAAATGCAACAAAACACCTGAATGAGCATCCTACAGACAACATTGTTACAGTTCAAAATGCATTCTTACTCACTACAATACAACTGAGTTTCCTTTCTAAAAAAGATGCCCACTCCAAACATAAAAGAGGCTACAATCTATTTTATCTGAATAGATGTTGTGTATCAGAGATGAATAAAAGCACACAGTGTGACTGGAGTGTGTTATTTAATATGGTTGAATGGGGGCATCTGCTTATATGAGCTTGCTTACAACAATACTCTCTGGCATGATCTCAGAAGGAAGGAAGGAAGGAAGGAGGGTACCTTCATCAGGTAAGCAAACAGCTCCTCATCAGTGATCACGTGTTCAGGCGATGGCACTCCCACCCTGTTGACCACCGTGTAAACAGCTTCCTCATAAAGCAGGTCCAGCTACACGAAAACACAATCCACTTAATAAGAACCTTTCAAAAATAACAAATAAAAGATTCTTTGCCTTCATGCTTTCTGCTCCGCTGCACATCAGAGGCAGGGAGCGTACAGTTATTGTGACTTTTAAGATGTAATCCCTGCTGAAAGAGGATGAAAACAGAGCTGACGCACCTCCGTTCTCCTGATTCTGTCGGGGATAAAGGCCTGGTCCACATGCTCCTGCGGGGGGGGCACGGTGCAGGCCCCTTTCTGACCCTGAGGGGTGAGAAGCAGTTCAGCCAAAACAAAACCAGACTCTCAAAAGGCTGTGTCGATCAATAACCAGACAGAGGAAGAGCTAAGGTCACTGTTTGGTATTTCTGACTCTCAATCATCTGTTGGACGTATGGTGGGTTAGTCCTGTTAGACGTATGGTGGGTTAGTCCTGTTGGACGTATGGTGGTTTAGTACTGTTGGACGTATGGTGGGTTAGTCCTGTTGGACGTATGGTGGGTTAGTACCGTTGGACGTATGGTGGGTTAGTCCTGTTGGACGTATGGTGGTTTAGTACTGTTGGACGTATGGTGGGTTAGTCCTGTTGGACGTATGGTGGGTTAGTACTGTTGGACGTATGGTGGGTTAGTCCTGTTGGACATATGGTGGGTTAGTCCTGTTGGACGTATGGTGGTTTAGTACCGTTGGACGTATGGTGGGTTAGTACCGTTGGACGTATGGTGGGTTAGTACCGTTGGACGTATGGTGGGTTAGTCCTGTTGGACGTATGGTGGGTTAGTCCTGTTGGACGTATGGTGGGTTAGTCCTGTTGGACGTATGGTGGGTTAGTCCTGTTGGACGTATGGTGGGTTAGTCCTGTTGGACGTATGGGGGGTTAGTCCTGTTGGACGTATGGGGGGTTAGTCCTGTTGGACGTATGGTGGGTTAGTACTGTTGGACGTATGGTGGGTTAGTCCTGTTGGACGTATGGTGGGTTAGTACTGTTGGACGTATAGTGGGTTAGTCCTGTTGGACGTATGGTGGGTTAGTCCTGTTGGACGTATGGTGTTTTGTTTAAATGGCACAAAACCCCGGATTTTAACTTTTTAGATATCTTTTCGGCTTCATATAATAGCAAACTAAATACCAAAGGGGAGGACCTCACCTTTAACATATGAGAAACTGGGATGGACTATGTTTTGACATTTATGGGTTTATGGTTAATTAAAACTCAGAAAATAATCAGCAGATTTCTTAGATAATGAAAAATAAAGATAAATGGCTGCCAAATACGAAAGAAAACATTTTGTTTACCTACATTTTTTACATTATTTCCTAATCTCTGCTTTTTGTGAAAGGTTTTTCTCAAATTTGTACTGAAATGATTGTAGTTTAAATTAGAATTTGAGTAGACCTATCGGAGATGCAAGGGTCACAAATTGTCCTGCCAAACAGGAACCAACCACTGGTGTCAAGCTTTGGCAATGTATTCGTATGTATGCTTTTAAAAACCTTTTATATGACTTTATATATAATATTAATCCGAAAAGCAGATTGTAACTAAACCTGTCAAATAAAAATATAGTACAGTAAAATAAGAAGTAGATCTTTGCAGCACTACTGCCTTCATAGTCACCTTATTGATTGCACCAACCAACACAGAAGACTAAATAGAGACCAAAATCAAAGTCCTCTTAGGATTGTTTTATGTTTTTCAAAATATGACATGAAGTCTGGATATTCCTTATGTTTTTAATGATGACTTTTCCTGATTCGCCTGTTTTTTTTTTACTCTTCTGTCTTACAGCAATTTGCAAATGAAGACATCAATAGCTCTCATAAAGATGTTAGCACAGCATCATGGCCATTGGCAGCTGAACATGGCGGCGGACAGCAGCTCGTCACAGCTGAGCTGCACTCTTCTGAGCACTAACCCAACCCCGGCCCTTCTGTCTGCACACGTCACAGGGCCTCCGCGCTACACAAACCTGTTTCAAGGGTGTAACAGATGGAAAGGTGGAAGTTAGGCGGAGGTTACCTCAGCCTGGGCGGCCCGCAGCATGTTCTCCTGCTTCTGAAGGATGGCATTCACACGCTCAAAGAATTCCACGCTCTCCTCGGAAATCCTGCCAAGAAGAGACGGCAGATTGACAAATCAACGCCCAAGATGGAAGATGAAATACTTGGGGAAAAAGATGTTAATTTATGAGAAAAAATGTGATGACATGTTGTGAGTCTAATATAATATTTCTGGATTGTAAATAAACAAATGGGATTCAGTGACATTGGTGAGATCGCACCGCATCCTGTTTACAGACACTTTGGAGAAGCGTCTGTCAATAAAGACTTTTATGTTTAACGACTCATTCGCCTGCATTTCAGCTCATTACATATCCAACACCTTCTTATCTCATGCACTATGAAGCAAAGCAGGTCTGGACCAAAGCTCTCAGCACTTCGACATGTCTGCACTCTGCGTGAACCATGCTAATCTTCTGTGATGAGCAGGGTGGTGTGCAAAAATGCAAATGATGTTTTCAATTTCCTCAAGGTGCGAGTGAATCCCCGGTCTCCCACTGGCCCCAGTTGTCATGGAGATGCGGGCACTCTCAGGGAGGGAAGAGCTGGCTGAACACCTTGGGAATCTCCCCCCGTTATTACCTTCACCCCCATGTCTCACCCCTCCCAAATTTCACAGCGGCCTGTATGGAGACAGTGGGATGATGGGAGCTGCAGCAGACGGGGGTTCAGCCGTCCACCCCCACAGCTCCCACACCTCCCAGCATCCATCCTCGTCTCTCATCCAACCCGTCATCCATGCTCCTTTATTAGCATCATCACATCCCAGCAGGTGTGTGGCAGCCCATCCCAGCACACACTGACGCTCGCCGTGGTGGGTGAGCGGAAGGCAAACCCCCGAGGTATTGATGAGGGCTAATGGCAGTCACGCTGAGAGTTGTTCAGGTTTCCACTGGCAGCAATCCCAGGAAAACTTGAGAGATGGATGGATTCGGCTGAAACCCTTAATCAAAGCAAGGCTCACTATAAAATACAGTATATGTTTCATAAATAAAAACTAGAGGGTTTCTTTGTAGGAGGGCTGCAACTACCAATTATGTTAATTAACCTTGTATGTGTCTTTTCATTTTGATTAATCATTTGGTTCATAAAATAGCAAATGATAAAAAAAAATACATTTATAAATTAGCAGAGACCAAGTCGACAGCATTTGTATCGCTTGTTTTGTCTGAGCAACAGACCAAAACTTAAAGGGGCCCTATTCTGCTCATTTTCAGGTTCATATTTGTATTTAGTGCGTCTACTGGGACATGTCTCCATGCTTTAATGTTCAAAAAGGTCTTTATTTTTCTCATACTGCCTGTGCTGCAGCACCTCTTTTCACCCTCTGTCTGAAACCAGAGCCCAGTCTGCTCTGATTGGTTAGCTGGCAGGCTCTGATGTGATTGGTCAAACGCTTAGAGATGTCTCACCCCTCAGCCTATTACATACAATGTGTTGGAGCACTAGCCAATAGAAGCCTGAGTGTTACATAGTGATTTCACTATGTTGCACAAGTCACCAAAGGAGTCCAAAGGAGAGAAACTCAATCTGGAAGGAACATTGGGATTTTAGTCTTTGCTGACCATTTCACATGCACTATAGGACATTACATTAAAACAGATAACATCATACTAAACTAAGAAAATCAGCAAACTTTCCTATTTTAGAAGATCCTAGCCCACCAAAAAGATTCAGGCAATTTCATCCCCTCTATCTCCGACCTTTCAACACTGTTTCTCCAATAAAGGCACATCTGGCCCCAAAAATAGCGATAAGGTGCCAAAACAGTAAGCAGTCATCAAAAAGGAAGCTACGGAAATGTTAGGAAGAGTGCGGACAAGCTTGTTCGCAAAACAAGAGTAAATCTGTGGTTGGCCTTCACCCACAAAAGAGTACCCATGTTTAGCTCCAGAAGAGGGGCCAACTTTAAAAAATAAATAAAACATCTTACTAATTGTGCTTTTCAGCAACTATTTGATAATTGCTGATACATATTTTGTTGATCAGTTAATGTGTAAATACTGGAGCTCTACTCTGCAGTCCCTGCATTTCTACAAAAGGATCTAGTCTAACCTTTGTGAGAATTAAAACCATTTTGCTAACAAAAGACGGACATTTATTTTTCAGCCTCTCAAAAACTGAGTTGTTATTCTGATCTGATCCCCTCAGTCAGTCTCTGAAAGCTCAAAGCCTCAAGCTGAGTCTCCAATCTGTGAACGACTGCCTAAACACAGCTTGTTCCGCCGACAAGAGACGAGAGGCTTTGTTTTTTGGAGCTTGCAGTTTTCATTTGCACACACAGAACATATAAGCTTCATTTGATTGTAATACTTTTGTTGTGAGACACTCAATTCTCTCTGCATCCCCCGTCAATTCTCCAAGGATCCCTGTTATCCAGAAATCTGTCCTGTCTTCTGTCAGTCAGCGTGAGGATTTGTCTAGACAGTCTGAGATTTTCTGTTTCAAGCTTTGGAACTACATTTTTTCATGAGCAGAATGAATGCCCAAATGATGCAATTTCAGTCAATCCTGAGTTGATAATTTTTTTTAAAAAGAAGCTGATATCTTTCAACCATTTTTCTCCCCCTCTGCCTCACACACATGCTCACACACATGCCACCAGCATAACAAACTGATTTGATGTTGCTAGGAAACAGGTCCTTATTTTTAATGTCATTTTATTGTCATTTATTTTCAGAAATAGTTGTCTTGCTGTCCAAAAGAGTACATCAAAATGAAAAAAGTGAAATAAATCATGATCACTGAACTTCTTATACTGTATCTGCCAGAAAATGTGTAAGCAACTCATCACTTCAATATAATAAGGCAGCGCACACATAGTAATTAATAGTGCAGACATCACTGTTGTTTGCAGCATGAAAGACAATGTGACGTCTGGATGCTTTCTAATAAAATAGGCAGATTTTAATCCGATTCATCACGGTTGTCAGTGTATAATATCAACCTGCTACTGCTATCATAACAGAGAATCTCACTCTCTATACTGAACACAAGACTGTTTGTTTTACTCTAATTAAACCTTTGATTAAGCAACGAAACATCACAGGTGAAAATAATCTAATGTTGTGATATGATCAAAATCTCTCCATTCAATAACTCGTGGAAGAAACAGCAGTTTTCAAGCTAGAACTACTGGCAGACAGAACAGAAGCCTTGTGTGAAATTATTTTCAACTTGGGTCATCTCGGGTGCTTCACAGTTTTTACTTCTCACTGTGCGGGTCAATAGCAGACTGTGGATTGGCAGCACTTTAAAATAGGCAGAGGGCAACTCTAATGTAAAGCTCTTACATGATTCCTGACTACAAGAATGCCTGTACAGTACACTTTTTATTCATTTTCCCTTATTTTTTATCCATCAGACAATAAATGACTATAAAGTAGCATATGTATGCAGTATGCTACTGTATAGCTGAAGCATTGCTGAGCTAAAGAAAAATCACTCCTGACCACAGTATATGTTATTTCATATATTGTAAAATCCTCAGGGATTAAATGTATAGTATGTCCCTAACTGAGTTATTCAAAAGGGGCTTATTATGCAAATGTTCAGGTTTCATAACTGTAGTTTGTGTCTCTACTGTGACATGTTTACATGCTTCAATGTTCAAAAATGTCTTTATTTTTCTCATACTGCCTGTGCTGCAGCACCTCTTTTCACCCTCTGTCTGAAACCAGAGTTAGTCTGCTCTGATTGGTTAGCTGGCCAGCTCTGTTGGGATTGGTCAATAACTTTGAGATGTTCCCCCCCTTAGCCTATGACGTACAATGTGTTCGAGCGTTTGCTCATGTTGTATGAGCCATCAGAAATATACATTTAATTTGATCAGTTTTGATTTGTAACACTAAAAACTAATGCTCCGATACAATGGAGCTGCATTATCAGTTACTCTTCCTTTAAATGTATTGGATGTCCATTATTAATGAATGTAAATATGTATTCATCAGGGGTTATCATTTAATGTAATTTTAAAATTGAGTTTGTTATCCTGAATTAATTCAAAAAGAGAGCCTCAGCACAGTGTCACTGAAGGGTCAAGTCCATTAATGACTGCAGCTACTGTTAAAAACAACGTGAATTTGAATGAGAAACATGAAGTCCGACACTATGAAGGAGATGTTGATGAACAGCGAAATAAGCAAAACAAATGAAAATACATACATTTAAATATAAATCCCTGCAGTCTTTATTCATTTTAATGCCAGGTCATGCTCATCTTGGACAGTTTCCGGAGCATTTAACAACCTACTCACATAATCCTTATTTGCTGGACTGAATTCAAAAGTTCACCTCCAACCTGCCGTCTCTGCTCGCAGCGCTCGGCTCTGACAGCCCATCGTGCTCCTGGGTCAACAACTGTGGACGGAGCAGCCCAAATATAACGGCCTCATTTGCAAATTCTCAATCAAAGTGAGAGTGTGGGCAGGCCAGCAGCAGACTGAACGGATAACAAAGATCACCAGGCTGCCTCTAATGAACCGCGCTCAGTGTGTGTGCACGGCGGGGAGGATGTAGCAGCGGGGGGCTGAGAAAAGGTGAGATACTGACAGCTCACATCACTCTTAATGAAGAACACAAATAGGGTCCTATCGGAGCAGATTACACGTTCAATTGTAAAAGGGACATCATTATAATGGATAAACCATACCGAGAGAGTATTATAAAGACGTGATAAATAACACACATTCATGAAGAATCAGTGTTCAACAACACGTCTGAGGATATCTTCCATGTTAAAAATAGACACGGTTGTCAGTACAAATATAAGTTCACATGGTGCCAGAAGCCTGTGTTAAGGTTGCTATAGAAACCTCAGGTTCATGATTATTTTTGTCTTTAGATGAAGCCAAAACAAGACTGAAAAAGATCATAGTAATGAATTGACCTGTTTCACTTCAAGAGCTGCTATGAAGCAGGAAGCTCTAAAAGTTATACAAGGAATACACTTGGACAAAATAAAAACCAGGGTAAAATATATCCCAAGATCACATTGCTGTCAAAAATGTCTTGCTGTATTTTTGACGTTTGACATGCATACAAAAACTCTATAATGCAGCGAGATGTCTCTAAAAACATTAGTATGCAGTAATATGATGGAGTCATATGTTGAAGGAGACATCAGAAGCATGTGGTAAACCACTACACTAGAAAGCAGCGCCTGTGAGCCTGACTGCATGTAATGTCAGCTTTTGTGTGGTCTGCTCACAGCAAGTCACAACTCTGTAATAAATGCCAAACACATTAAAACATTCGGTTGACAAGAAATAATGACCTGTGGCTTCCGCCGGACAGCCAGCGGAAAACAACAACAGACATGAATTATTTCGTATGAGCTAGACCCCCGTCTTTGACAGGCTGTCATCTTTCTGAGCTACGCTGAACGCAATTTAATTTCCCCTTAAAATAAATCTCATTATGGAAGCTATTATGTCCTAAGCGGCAACAATCAGGCAACTATTAACTATAGCTAGAAAACAGCAGGGCCGCTGTCGGGGGGGGGGGACATTTTAAAGATGAACCCAGCCCAAGGCCCGGGGGGGGCATGCAATGGTATATATGGTTATAATGCGACGCTGTGAACAACAGAACAACAAATCCGAGTTCAAAACAGCAGGAAAAGAGATTAAACTTAGGTGTTAGCCATTAGCGGTTAGCTGTTAGTTATTGAACAGTAGTACTGTGCTGCCTAACGCTTACTGAGGTTGTTTTTGCTTTATAATGTGTTCAAGAGTATTAGGCAAAAGCTATTTATAATGTTTTCATTATGTGTTCAAATGTAATCTTGTAAAATGTAAATTCAAGGAGGTGTTTTAACAGGATTAACATAAATATGCTATTGGAGGGAATTAAGACATGCTCTATGCTGCTTATAATACATAATAAAAATTACTAAGATTTGTGGTAAATCGAAGCAAATTCAACAAAATACAATCCTTTATTTCCCAAATCATTTGAATAGTGTTTTTAATGCAAATAACGACTACAGATGAGAGTAACATAGTGAAAGAAAGTAATTAAGATAGCATTAGAGATGTGGACGTTTTCTTTGGATAAAAAAAAAGAAAGAAAGAAATTGGGACGTTGGTGAAAAACCTTAGTCTGGAGCCTTGAATTTAAAAAAATGTCCCCCGTCCTTCATTTCTAGCGGTTCTGAGAAAGAGTAATACATCAGTAAACATCCTGGCTCCTGCTTATTGCTAAAACTCAAGCAAGGCTTCATTTGTGTCCAACAGCAACACATTACAATCTAAATGCATGAGAGCAGAGAGGGCATCACCACTTCACTCATAAAATCATAAATCCAGTCAACTGCTCCTGCGACAAAGTGTGCCTGGAAGGATTCTAATAAATCTCTTAATGTACATCGGCTAAAATCTAAATGACAAAAAAGTGAAAAACATAAAACCCCAATGTATGTAATATGTTGAACGAAACAGCAACAAAGTTCCACGAATCTCACATCCACGAAAAGTCATGTTAATAACCTGGAAACCAGCAACATTACTAGCAGTAGGTTGTTTGTTTGCACAGCAGTGACTCACCTGCGGGGCAATGGGTCGGGGCAGTGTGTGAGGGGGCTGCTGGGGGTGGGGGTCGGCTCCCTGCGGCCCCTCAGAGACTGGCTCCTCTGCACCTGCCTCAGCACACTGCTCTTCAGGTCCAGCAGCGTCGTCATGGTCTCTCACTGCCAGAACACACACACAAACACACACCAACTGTCAATTCAATTCCATATGCTTTATTGGCATACATGTCACAATATTGCAACAGCGTTATAATGAGATTGTAAAGAAAAAGAAGGTTAAATTCATAAAAATCAAGAACATGGCATTAACCCACGCTCTGTTTGTGTGAAACTGGGAAAAAGTGTGTATGGTGTGTGTGTGTGTGTGTGTGTACCTGGACAGTGAATCTGGTTGCTTTGTACTTTAACATTACATCTCAGTTTTTCTAAGAGCAAGACATTATTCAAGAGTAAAACATTTACTAAAACATTTGTAGAGTTATAACAAAATCGTATTTGAAGCAATCTTGTTACTTGACATTTTATTTCCAAGAGCCGGATATTTAGGGCATAATGAAGTGTCACTCTGGTGCGGCTCATAATTGGCACTGTCTGTATTCCACAACCTCTATGCTAATTTCTTGCTTTGGGGTCATATTTATTTTTCAAAGCGTTTGTTTCTGGAAATACAGTTGGCTCAGGGGATCCTTTTAGTCTAATAAGCTGCATAATCACCCCCTTTGCTCTTTAAACATAATTATAGTCTTCCTCAGCAGAAGGTGTGTTCTATTTCTGTCAGAGCCTGGCTGATGCTAGGCAGTGTGAAATGTATCTTTCACCTTTAGGTCTGGTCAGTTAATCAATTTGTATTATTGTGATCACACTTTGTACAAAATATGCAAATCAAGGATACTCACAGAGCTGAGAGCCAGAAGAGCACCATAACAGCAATATCATAAAACCACTGTATTACTAAAAATTAAATGGCAAGGAAATAGAGCCAAGTAAAAGCCTCGTTGCTCTGAATTTGTTGGCAAAAACCATAATTTATAAAAAGAAGACTTGGAAGATGTTGCGAACAGATGAAATAAAAACAGAGAATATTACAATTTTTAGGGTCAACAAAAGAAGAGCTTGCAGAGATAGTGTACTGTACTAATGTGGGCTTTGAAGCACAACGTGTAAAGGGGAAGCACATCCAGTAATACTTTCTGTACCTACCTGTACAGAAAAAGCAACATCTATAACTAAATAATTATGTATCAACCGTTACACTTTAAGCACTTGCACTGCTTTGCAATGAATTTAAGGTGTATTTTTTGTAAAAAGTATCAATTTTGTGATTTTGTGAGTGTTTGGACCCATTGGCCAATCATTACATTTAAAGTCAAATCATTTATCACAATAAATTACCTTAATCAAATCCTTTCCAAGTTGAAGGAATGTTAACTTTTTCAAAAAGTTATTTTCATTAATCCACCTGCGCCTTTAGAGGGAATTAGTCTACAGGCATATTTATTAAAACACATTTGATATGAAATCATGACATTCTAAGACATTTTATAATATCCAAGCACTTGAAGAGAAAGGTTTACTTGGTTGTCGTGACTGTAAAATATAAATGTAGACAAATGGCGACCTCACAGAGATTGGAACTGTGTTGCTAAGCAATTCTCTGGGACTGAGTGGCTCTTCCTCAGAGCCATATAGTGAACTCTCATTTTGGCTTCATGGCGTCTTTAAAGTATAACCGAATTTCCTGGTCTCATGATAATACTGTGCACCGTCAATGCTCTTTGCAATTGAAGAGCTGAAGAATAAAGTACAGTGTTCTGTTTGGGATATTTAATGAAACTGACTGCATTTCAAAGTTAAAACGAAGGGAAAGTTACAGTTTATTTGAAATGTCAACATCAATTGCTTTTTATCCTCTTAATATTCTTTCCTCAAAAGTCAGACATTGGACTTCATCATGTGTCTGAGGAGTATACACTGAAAAAACTGATTCTGACCCCTTTTAGATGTTACATGTTTTAATCTAGCCTTTTTTAATAGATTTGAATGTGTTATAGCATCCTTCTTATCTTTTTTAATTAATCTTAACATATTTTGTCACTGTTTAAAACAAGTTCATTTCATTCATTTAAAAATAATTAGAAAAAATTATGTACCATTTAATTACCACATAATACTGTCCTGTCTGCGCATGTGCATACACAAGCAGACCGCCACTTTTCCCTCCATTTTCCATTCGGAATCGGAAGGACAGGACTGCCTGTGTATAGCTCCGCTGTCGTGAGGTGAACATTCTCCACGGCTCTCCGTTTTAAGTAAGTAGGCTAGCTAATTTATAGCATTGGGTGTATTATATTATACTTAAATAGGTAGCTTTTTGATAGATTAACATTAGCAAACGTTAACGTAGGCCTACAGCAGCTAGCTAACTGTTAGCCTAGCTTAGTTGTGTAGTAATGTTTAAGTAATTTAAATGAAGTGTAACATGCATCATTAACATTATAAGATAACTTAATACTGCTCTCAAGTTAAATACGTGTTCAATTCAATCTTTGTCTTGTTAGACTTTATTATTAGTTGTTGGCTAATACAAGTTGAATGTTAAACTGCCTGTTCCTATGGCTTTTTTTTTTTGTAGCTTCAACTTCCCCGCTGCCCGGCTTGTATACTGGCCATGCTGTCTTCCTGACCGACTGTAAGTATGTTTTATTTTATTCTTATCACTGTGGTAATATTAGGACACAACTAAACATATGAAATCACGTTGGTAAGGGTGCTTTTGGTAACGTTACTCTCTGGCGGCAAGGGGTTAATGTTACCGCGGCTAACGTTCATATCTTGGTCTTATAAGCGCTTTCACACCGGACCGGAGTACTTTCCCCCCCGAACTAGGGGGGAGGGGGGGTAGTCTTAGTTTCGCCAACACCGTATATAATATGCTATAAGACAAAATGCGTCTATGATGTATTTTCGATCTTTCCAATCCAGACGAGAGATCTTTCTCTCCCCCGTGCCCCGTCTGTGTGCGAGGGGGCGGGGCAGTTTACACACAGGCGGCTGCTACATGCATTCAACACACGGCGGAGAGAGAACTAACCGCTCCGAGGTGTGTTTAAATGTTACCCGTCTTGAGGTGGACTCTTTGCCAAAAGTGAGAAATAATTGATTGGTTTTGGCTATGGAATAGAATATTGTAACGACCCGGTATAGGGTGCTGTGTGGGTCACTCAAGCATCCCCCGGCTCTCTGCCAATCACAGAGCGGCACAGTAATGCTGGTCGGCGTGCGGGCCTGTGGTTGGGGGAGCAAAGGTGTGTGTGTGTGTGTGTGTGTGTGTGTGTGTGTGTGTGTGTGTGTGTGTGTGTGTGTGTGTGTGTGTGTGTGTGTGTGTGTGTGTGTGTGTGTGTGTGTGTGTGTGTGTGTGTGTGTGTGTGTGTGTGTGTGTGTGTGTGTGTGTGTGTGTGTGTGGGTGTGTGGGTGTGTGGGTGTGTGGGTGTGTGTGTGTGTGTGGCTGGCCGGCCGGCCGGTTTCCGACTCCTATTGTGGAACGTTACAATATCATCATTTAATGTCATTATACATGTACAATGAAAGAAAAGCTTCTCCCTTTTTAAAAGGTGCCATCAAGTGCAATAACAGTTTAGCATGTAAGGGTGGTAACACAGGCAATTTGTCTAAACATTTAGCAAAAGTGCACCACATCCAGTAATATTTAGGCTCTATTTAAAAAGAAAAACGTAACATTGTTTGTCACAAAGAATTTTGTAGGATTTTGAGTCATTGGCCTAACACAAGTTAGTAATCATTAGCAATCAATTACCTTTTTTCATTTACCATTATTATTTTTCATTTCTGCTCATCTTTATTTTTATTGCAGGTTTTTCTATCTGATGTTGGTGTGATGTAGAACAGAACCTTACTCTTTGGGGACCTCATGTTGTTTTGGTAAGTCAATTTATCAAACAAATTCCTTACTCTTCAAGTTTTGAGCAAACTATTAGGATTTTCGTTTAGTTCACTCTGCTTAGAGATCCAAATTATTTGTAGATCACCATGACCCAAAGGTGACTGTGAAACACCATCACTAATGTTTGATTCCCCCCCCCCCCCCTTTTCTCTCTTTGGTGTTTGTCTAGTTTATGTGGCAGTGTAAAGACTGTGGCGCTGAAGTGTCTAAGCGATCACAAATTCTCAAACATTACAGACTAAAACATAGTCATTTTGGGCGTGGCCATCATATTAAGTGTATATATCCTGATTGTCCATGCATTTTTAAGGCTTGGAATACTCTTTTGGTACACTTGTCAAGGAATCACACCAATACCTCAAAGCCCTCTGCTGACATATTTACTACATTTTCCTGTCATCTATGTGGCTGTAGTGAACTCGGAACAGAACGTGATTATTTTGTGCACATAAGCCATCATCTGAGAAACAATGAGACAGTCACTTGTATGTTTAAAGGCTGTGCATACAAATCCAACATATACAGCACCTTCAAGTCACACAAAAGACGGAAGCACAGCTTGCATTCATTGGTAGATTTTAAGGACGGTGTTGTACAAGGAACTTGTGTAGGTGAAACTGGAGAGCCTGGTGTTTCAAACAATGAGGACATTTGCGATGAAAGTCAGTTTGATGATGTTGATTTAGATACGTCGAAGGATCAGCCAGAAATAGAGCAAAAAATTGCGGCAGTGTTATTAAAGCTGGAAAATATTTTTCATGTGCCAAGTGCTGCAGTTGATGAATTGCTGGAAGAATTTCAATATTTGTTGAGCACAGCATCTTTGTGTAGTACAAGAAATGTGATCCATGACACACTAAATAGTTACAATCTACAAGTTGACCAGTCGGTCATTGAAGAACTTGCATCTGCTCTGTGTACATCTAATCCTGTGTACAAGGCTATTGGTAAAGGTTGTCCTTTGGCAACATCCTTTAAACGCAAGCAATACTATAAACACAATTTTAAAGTTGTGGAACCCATAGAATATATCTTGGATGAGAAAGATAAAAGAACGCTACAGTATGTTCCACTATTAAAGTTTTTGCAGCAGCTTTTCACTGATGGTCACATTCTTAACAAAGCATTAGACAGTCAACTCATATCAGAGGATAGAGGAGAAGAAGTGGTATACAAGTCTTTTCGAGATGGTTTGTTT